TGTGTTCTGCCTCTCGCCAACGCTGGGCACCTATTGATAGTGAGGTTGTGCTGTCACGTGACCGATGTCTGGTCACGTCATCCGTGATTGCCAGTGGCGTGACGTGACGAAAAGCGCACTGGCGTCGTCGTCTCCGGCGACCGCTCCATGGGCGACAACCATCGGCGACCTCCGGTAACGCGCGAGTGTGCCGACGCAACCGCTGCGCGTCTCGACCAACGGAGAGTGCGCGGACGACTCTAGTTGCAACAAGATGCTCTGCAAAGTGTCATGTGAGCTTGTGCCCATGCGCGGCGGGGTGAGCACTGCTCGCCGTCGATTCCCTAATCGCTTGCCGACCCGGCGCACGGGGCCAGGCGCGTGCACGTCAGCCTTCCAGAGCGACAGAATCCGGCACGACACAAATGCACCTCTTCCAATTGCATCTGCATCTATATTCGGAATTTTGGCTGATATGAAAGTGTAATACTGCCGCCCCTCCCCTTGTCCTAGTGTTTTATTTGATCTGTGTATTACTGTAATCACCGCATCACGGGATGCATCCCTCTCCCCACCCCCCTTAGGGTTGTATGCGCACTGTGTGGGTGCACTTGATCCTTATTTGTTCCGTGTATTGGTGCAATCGAATGACAATCACAACGAGACACTGCCCCATTGCCCGAATTATTTTCTACTTATTGTCATCTAATCTGTGTGTTGGTGTATTTACGTAGCAGTGATAAACACATCCCTCCCTTCTTTTTGTGATTCCTGGGCGTATGTACGTGCTGTACTGATTATTATTTGTTTTGTGCATTAGTGTAATCATATGGTATCAACACGAGATGCTTCCCGTACCCCCGGACTGTGTAGCACTCCGGCGTGTAGCCCCCGCCCGTTCCCTGGGCTTGCCAGCCGGCTGTGGGTTTGCCACTTCCCTGCAATGTCCGTAGGCGTTGGGCAACTGCGGCCTTCTCGTGTGGTCGCAGTTTTTCCACCGGCGTTCCTCGCATGGCGTCACGCTTCGAGGCGACGCAGACTTGTGTCTTCGCCGCGGACGTGCCCTCTCGTCTGGCTGCGGTGAGGTCTCCGACGTCATCCATGATCGCCAGTCGGATGACTTGACGAACAACGCACTGGCGTCGTCGGCGCCGGTGTCCGCTCCATGGGTGCAAACCGTCTGCGACCTCCGGTCACGCTCGATTGTGCCGACACAACCGCTGCGCGTCTCGACCAACGTGATTGCGGGGATGACTCAAGTTGCAACAAGATGCTCTGCAAAGTGTCATGAGAGCTGGTGCCCATGCGCGGCGGGGTGAGCACTGTTCGCCGTCGGTCGTTAATCGCTCGCCGACCTGTCGAACGGGGCTAGAAGCGTGCACGTCGGCCTTCCAAAGCGACAGGGGCCGGCACGACACAAATGCACCTGTTCCAGTTGCATCTGCATCTATTTTCGGCATTTTGGCTGATATGAAAGTGTAGTACTGCCGCCCCTCCCCTTGTCCTAGTGTTTTATTTGATCTGTGTATTACTGTAATCACCGCATCACGGGATGCATCCCTCTCCCCACCCCCCTTAGGGTTGTATGCGCACTGTGTGGGTGCACTTGATCCTTATTTGTTCCGTGTATTGGTGCAATCGAATGACAATCACAACGAGATGCTGCCCCATTGCCTAAATCATGTTCTACTTATTCTCATCTATTATGTGTGTTGGTGTATTTACGTGACAATGATCAAGACATTCCCCCCCCCCCCTCCCCCCGCTTTTTCTGCCAGCGGCGCCTGTGCACGTGCTGTGCTGATTATTATTTGATCTGTGCATTAGTGTAGTCATATGGAATCAACACGAGATGCTTCCCGTGACCCCGGACTGTGTAGCACACAGGCGTGTACCCCCGCCCGTTCCCTGGGCTGGCCGGCCGGCTGTGGGTTTGCCACTTCATTGCAATGTCCCTAGGCGTTGGGCAACTGCGGCCTTCTCGTGTAGTCGCAGTTGTGCCACCGGCGTTCCTCGTTTGGCGTCACGCCTCGAGGCGACCCAGTCTTGTGTCCTCGCCGCGGAAGTGCCGCCTGGCTGCGGTGAGGTCGCCGACGGCCTAAGGGCTGCATTCCAGGGAGCAATGACGGGTCGGATGCGGCTCCCGCTGACGGCCTCCCCCCGCCCCCCCCCCCCCCCCCCCCCCCCCCAGACCATGCCCACCATGGGGAGCTGGGTGAGCCAGCGCTTCACCCCTTTGGCGGGGCGCTACACCGTACAGTGGCATAGTGGAAGTAAGGCTTTTTTGTAAACACTGTCGCGTGTAAATGCGCTGAAGACCTTTGCGCATCCGTTTGCCTTTTTGCCATTTCCTGTAACGAAACATGACTTTTTATGAATACAAATCTGTTCTGATCAGCATCATATCTGATACGTCCCCTACATGGGGACCAGAATATTGAACTCATTTTTGAACATTGGCGAGGATACTGGAGCTTCCTTTCGCCCTGCCACGGGTTGGCTTGGTTGGCCGGACGATGCCATGGCACCAACGGCGCGTGCCGTAAGGCTGGACACATGCAACGCCAACGGATCCCATGGTAGTACAAGGGAAAGCCATAAAGACGAAACGCCTGACAATGACCATGGCCGCCGGCTGTGCATATCAGTGTTGCACGCCCTGCGGCCAGATGTCTCTGCCGGCAGCGTGGCATTCACACATCGCGTGCGGGCCGTCCAATGGTCGGTTGTGTTGCCTGCACGGGCACCGCAGCCGGAGGCCGTGCGGCCTTGCCGGCCTGGCGCCATTCCTCAGCTGCGTGGGCATCTTCGCTTGCGATGCACGGCCACGCTCTACCACCTGACGCGGGGCGACGCTGCACTCAACTTGCAACAAGTCGGCAACACAACTCCCCAGCTGCCGGCAACGAGTCACAACCACAGAAGGAGGACGACCAACCTGGTTCTTGCCGCCCTGTGCGACAGCGATCTGGTGGCCATGCTGGCACTAGCAGCGGCTGGACGATTTTCGACCCTGGCGACGCGCGTCCCGGCGTCAGTTGCGCGCCCACAGACGCGGTACGAGCACGTGTTCTGCCTCTGGCCAACAATGGGCACCTATTGATAATGACGGTGTGCTGTCACGTGACCGATGTTTGGTCACGTCATCCGTGATCGCCAGTCGGGTGACGTGACGAACAACGCGCTGGCGTCGTCGGCGCCGGCGCTCGCTGCATGGGCAACAACCGTCGGCGACCTCCGGTCACGCGCGAGTGTGCCAACGCAGCCGCTGCGCGTCTCGACCAACGGAGATTGCGATGACGACTCAAGTTGCAACAAGATGCTCTGCAAAGTGTCATGTGAACTGGTGCCCATGCGCTGCGGGGTGAGCACTGCTCGCCGACGGTCGCTGATCTCTGGCCGACCTGGCGCACGGGGCCAGGCACGTGCACGTCGGTCTTCCAAAGCGACAGCGGCCGGCACGACACCAATGCACCTGTTGCAGTTGCGACTGCATCGCTTTTCGGCATTTTGGGTCAGATCAAAGTGTATTACTGCCGCACCTCCCCTTGTCCTAGTGTTTCATTTGATCTGTGTACTAGTGAATTCACCGCATCACGAGATGTTCCCCCCCCCCTCCCTTTAGGGTTGTATGCCCACTGTGTGGGTGCAGTTGATCTGTATTTGTTCCGTGTATTGATGCAATCGAATGACAATCCCAACAAGATGCTGCCCCATTGCCTGAATTATGTTCTACTTATTTTCATTTAATCCGTGCGTTGGTGTACTTAGCGACAATGATCAAGACATTCCCACTCCCACCCCCCAACCCCCACCCCTTCTTTTTGTGCTTACTGGGCGTATGCACGTCCTGTACTGATTATTTTTTGTTCTGTGCATTAGTGTAATCATATGGTATCAACACGAGGTGCTTCCCGTACCCAAGGACTGTGTAGCACTCCGGCGTGTAGCCCCCGCCCGTTGCCTGGGCTTGCCGGCCGGCTATAGGTTTGCCACTTCCCTGCAATGTCCGTAGGCGTTGGGCAACTGCGGCCTTCTCGTGTGGTCGCAGTTTTGCCACCGGCGTTCCTCGCATGACGTCACGCCTCGAGGCGACGCAGTCTTGTGTCTTCGCCGCGGACGTGCCGTCTCGTCTGGCTGCGGTGAGGTCGCCGACGTCATCCATGATCGCCAATCGGATGACTTGACGAACAACGCACTGGCGTCGTCGGCGCCGGTGTCCGCTCCATTGGCGCAAACCGTCTGCGACCTCCGGTCACGCTCGATTGTGCCGACGCAAAAGCTGCACGCCCACGTGATTGCGGGGATGACTCAAGTTGCAACAAGATGCTCTGCAAAGTGTCATGAGAGCTGGTGCCCATGCGCAGCGGGGTGAGCACTGCTCGCAGTCGGTTGCTAATCGCAAGCCGACACGGCGCACGGGGCCAGGCGCGTGCACGTCGGCTTTCCAGAGCGACAGCCGCCGGGACGACACAAATGCACCTGTTTCAGTTCAGCTGCATCGCTTCCCGGAATTTTGGCTAAGATCAAAGTGTAGCACTGCCGCCCCTCCCCTTTTCCTAGTGTTTTATTTGATATGTGTATTAGTGTAATCACCGCATCACGGGATGTCCCCCCAGACTTAGGGTTGCATGCTCACTGTGTGAGTTCAGTTGATCCTGATTTGTTCCGTATATTGGTTCAATCGAACGACATTGACAACGAGATGCTGCCCCATTGCCTGAATTATGTTCTACTTGTTCTCATCTAATCCGTGTGATGGTGTATTTACGTGACAATGATCAAGACATTCTCCCCCCCCCCCCCCCCCCCCCCACCACCTGCTTTTTCTGCTAGCGGCGCGTGTGCACGTGCTGCACTGGTTATTATTTGATTTGTGCATTAGTGTAATCATGCGGAATCAACACGAGATGCTTCCCGCGACCCCGGACTGTGTAGCACTCCGGCGTGTAGCCCCCGCCCGTTCCCTGGGCTCGCCTGCCGGCTGTGGGTTTGCCACAACCCTGCAATGTCCGTAGGCCATGGGCATCTGCAGCCTTCTCGTGTGGTCGCAGTTTGGCACCGGCGTTCCTCGCCTGGCGGCACGTCTCGAGGTGACACGGTCTTGTGTCGTCGCCGCGGACGTGCCGTCTGGCTTCGGTGAGTTCGCCGATGGCCTATGGCCTGCATTCCATGGAGCATTGACGGAGCGCATGCGGCTCCTTCCGACGGCCTGCCCCCGCCCTGCACACCGCTGCGTCTAAATGCGCTGCAGAGCCTGGAGCGCATCCGTTTGTCATTTTAACATTTCTTATAATGAAGCATGACCTTTCATGAATGCAAATATGTTCTGATCAGCATCACATCTGATATGACCCTGCATTGGGCCAGAATATTGAACTAAGTTTTGAACATTGGCGAGGTTACTGGAGCTTGCTCTCGCACTGCCGCGGGTTGGCCTGGGTGGCCGACCGATGCCATGTCACTAACAGCGCGTGCCGTCGGGCCGGCAACATGCAACGCCAACGCATCACATGGTTGTACAAGCGAACGTCATACAGACCAAACGTCTGACAATGACCATGGTCGCCGGCTGTGCATATCAGTGTTGCACCCCCAGCGGCCAGATGTCTCTGCCGGCACCGTGGCATTCACACATCGCCTGCGGGCCGTGCAGTGGTCGGCTGTGTTGCCTGCTCCAACGCACGTGCACCGCAGCCGGAGACCGTGCGGCCTTGCCGGCCTGGCGCCATTCCTCTGTTGCATGGGCGTCTTCGCTTGCGATGCGCGGCCGCGCTCTACCACCTGACGCTGTGCGACGCCTCACTCAACTTGCAACAAGTCGGCAACACAACTCCCCAGCTGCCGGGAACGAGCCACCATCGCAGACGTAGGACGACAAACCTGGCTCTCGGCTCCCGGTGCTACAACAATCTAGCGGCCATGCTGGCACTAGCAGCGGCTGGGCGATTTTCGACCGTAGCGTCGCGTGTCCCGGCGTGAGTTGCACGCCCAGAGACGCGGTGCAGGGACATGTTCTGCCTCTCGCCAACACTGGGCACCTTTTGATAGTGACGGTGTGCTGTCACGTGACCGATGTCTGGTCACGTCATCCGTGATTGCCATTCGTGTCACCTGACGAACAACGCACTGGCGTCGTCGGCGCCGCCGACCGCTCCATGGGCGACAACCGTTGGAGACCTCCAGTCACGCGCGAGTGTGCCGACGCAACCGCTGCGCCTCTCGACCAACGAAGATTGCGCGGCCGACTCAAGTTGGAACAATATGCTCTGCAAAGTGTCATGTGAGCTGGTTTTCACGCGCAGCGTGGTGAGCACTGCTCGCCGTCGGTCACGAATCGCTCGCCGACCTGGCGCACGGGGAGGTGCGTGCACATCGGCTTTCCAGAGCGACAGCGACCGGTACGACTGAAATGCACCTGTTGCAGTTTTTCTGCGTCGCCTCTCGGAATTTTGGCTATGATCAAAGTGTAGTACTGCCGCCCCTCCACTTGTCTTAGTGTTTTGTTTGAACTGTGTATTTGGTTAATCACTGCACCACGAGATGTCCCTCCCCCCACCCTTAGAGTTGCATGCCCACTGTGTGGGTGCAATTGATCCTTATTTGTCCGTGTATTGGTGCAAACGAATGACAATCACCACGAGATGCTGCCCAATTGCCTGAATTATTTTCTACTTATTCTCATCTACTCTGTGTGTTGGTGTATTTACGTGACGATGATCAAGACATTCCCCCCGCCCCTTGTTTCTCTGCTAGCGGCGCGTGTGCACGTGCTGAACAGATTATTATTTGACCTGTGCATTAGTGTAATCATAAGGAATCAACACGAGATACTTCCCGTGACCCCGGACTGTGTAGCACTCCGGCGTGTAGCCCCCGCCCGTTCCCTGGGATGGCCGGCCGGCTGTGGGTTTGCCACTTCACTGCAATGTCCGTGGGCGTTGGCCAACTGCGGCCTTCTCGTGTGGTCGCAGCTTTGCCACCGGCGTTCCTCGCCTGGCGTCACGTCTCGAGGCGACCCAGTCTTGTGTCGTCGCCGCGGACGTGTCGTCGGGCTGCGGTGAGGTCGCCGACGGCCTAAGGCCTGTAATCCCGGGAGCATTGACGGGGCAGATGCGGCTCCCGCCGACGGCCTGCCCCCTGGCACTGTCCACCATGGGGAGCGGGGCGAGCCAGCGCTTTACCCCATTGGTGGCACGCTACACCGTGCCGTGGCATTATGGAAGTAAGGCTTTTTTGTAAAACCATGTCGCGTGTAAATGCGCTGAAAACCTTTGCGCATCCGTTTGTGTTTTTACCATTTCCTATAATGCAACATGACCTCTTATGAATGCGAATATGTTCTGATCAGCAGCATATCTGATACGTTCCCTACATGGGGACCAGAATATTGAACTCATTTTTGAACATTGACGTGGTTACTAGAGGTTGCTTGCGCCCTGCCGCGGGTTGGCCCGGTTGGCCGGCCGATGCCATGCCACCAACAGCGCGTGCCGTCAGGCTGGACACATGCAACGCCAACGTATCCCATGGTTGTACAAGCGAAAGCCACACAGACCAAACGCCTGACAATGACCATGGCCGCCGGCTGTGCATATCAGTTTTGCGTGCCCTGCGGCCAGATGTCTCTGCCGGCGGCGTGGCATTCCCAAATCGCGTGCGGGCCGTCCAATGGTCGGCTGTGTTCCCTGCGCGGGCACCGCAGCCGGAGGCCTTGCGGCCTTGCCGGCCTGGCGCCATTCCTCAGCTGCATGGGCATCTTCGCTTACGATGCGCGGCCGCGCTCTACCACGTGATGCGAGGCGACGCCGCACTCAACATGCAGCATGTCGGCAACACAACTCCCCAGCTGCCGGGAACGAGCCTCCATCGCAGATGAAGGACGACAAACCTGGCTCTAGGCGCCCGGTGCGACAGTCATCTAGCGACCATGCTGGCACTAGCAGCGGCTGGGCGATTTTCAGCGGCTGGTCCAATTGTCGGCTGTGTGCCCTGCACGGGTACCGCAGCCGGAGCCCGTGCGGCCTTGCAGGCCTGGCACCATTCCTCAGCTGCATGGGCGTCTTCGCTTGCGATGCGCGGCCGCGCTCTACCACGTGACGTGGGGCAACGCCGCACTCAACATACAAGTCGGCAACACAACTCCCCAGCTGCCGGGAACGCGCCATCACTGCAGACGCAGGACGACCAATCTGGCTCTCCGCGCCCGGTGCGACAGCGATTTGGCGGCCATGCTGGCATTAGCAGCGGCTGGGCGATTTTCGACCGTAGCGACGCGCGTCCCGGCGTCAGTTGCACACCCACATACGCGGTGCGAGCACGTGTTCTGCCTCTCGCCAAATCTGAGCACCTATTGATAGTGACGGTGTGCTGTTACGTGACCGATGTCTGGACACGTCATCCGTGATTGCCAGTAGGGTGACGTGACGAACAACGCACTGGCATCGTCGGCACCGGTGACCCCTCCATGGACGCAAACCGTCGGCGACCTCCGGTAACGCACGAGTGTGCCGACGCAACCGGTGCGCTTCTCGACCAACGGAGATATCGCGGACGTCTCAAGGTGCAACAAGATGCTCTGCAAAGTGCCATGTGAGCTGGAGCTCATGCGCTGCGGCGTGAGCACCTCTCGCCGTCGGTCGCTAATCGCTCGTCGACCCGGCGCACGGGGCAGGCGCGTGCACGTCGGCCTTCCAGAGCGACAGCGGCCGGCACGACACAAATGCACCTGTTGCAGTTGCATCTGCATCGATTCTCGGTATTTCGGCTGAGATGAAAGTGTAGTACTGTCGCCCCTCCCCTTGTCGTAGTGTTTTATTTTATCTGTTTATTTGTGTAATTACCGCATCACGAGATGTCCCCCCCCTTAGGGTTGTATGCCCACTGTGTGGGTGCAATTGATCCTTATTTTTTCCGTGTATTGTTGCAACCGAATAACAATCCCAACGAGATGCTACCCCATTGCCTGAATTATGTTTTACTTATTCTAATCTAATCTGTGTGTTGTTGTATTTACGTGACAATGATCAGGACATCCCCCCCCCCCTGCTTTTCTGCTAGCGGCGCGTGTGCAAGTGCGGTACTGATTATTATTTAATCTGTGCATTAATGTAATCATATGGAATCAACACGAGATGCTTCCCGTGACCCCTGACTCTGTAGCACACAGGCGTGTAGCCCCCGTCCGTTCCGTGGGCTGGCCGGCCGGCTGTGGGTTTGCCACTTCACTGCAATGTCCGTAGGCGTTGGGCAATTGTGGCCTTCTCGTGTGGTCGCAGTTTTGCTACCGGCGTTCCTCGTCTGGCGTCACGCCTCGAGGCGACGCAGTCTTGTGTCGTCGCCGCGGAGATGTCTGGCTGCGGTGAGGTCGCCGACGGCCTAAGGCCTGTAATCCAGGGAGCAATGACGGGTCGGATTCGGCTCCCGCCGACGGCCTTCCCCCCGCACATGCCCACCATGGGGAGCGGGGTGAGCCACCGCTTCACCCCATTGGCAGCACGCTACACCGTACCGTGGCATTATGGAAGTATGGCTTTTTTTGTAAAACACTGTCGCGTGTAAATGCGCTGTAGAGCCTGAGCCCATCCGTTTGTCTTTTTACCGTTTCCTACAATGAAACATGACCTTTTATGAATGCGGATATGTTCTGATCAGCATCATATCTGATACGTCCCCTACATGGGGACCAGAATATTGAACTCATTTTTGAACATTGGCGAGGATACTGGAGCTTCCTTTCGCCCTGCCACGGGTTGGCTTGGTTGGCCGGACGATGCCATGGCACCAACGGCGCGTGCCGTAAGGCTGGACACATGCAACGCCAACGGATCCCATGGTAGTACAAGGGAAAGCCATAAAGACGAAACGCCTGACAATGACCATGGCCGCCGGCTGTGCATATCAGTGTTGCACGCCCTGCGGCCAGATGTCTCAGCAGGCAGCGTAGCATTCACACATCTCTTGCGGGCCGTCCAATTGTCGGCTGTGTTGTCCGCTCCAGCGCACGGGCACCACAGCCGGAGGCCGTGCGTCCTTGCCGGCCATGCGCCATTCTTCAGCTGCATGGGCGTCATCGCTTGCGATGCGCGGCCGCGCTCTGCCACGTGACGCGGCGCGACGCTGCACTCAACTTGCAACATGTCGGCAACACAACTCCCCTGAGCTGGTGCCAATGCGTGGCGGTGTGATCACTGCTCGCTGTCGGTCGCTAATCGCTGGTCGGCCCGGCGCACGGAGCCAGGCGCGTGCGCGCCGGCCTTGCAGACCGACAGGGGCCGGCACGACATAAATGCACGTGTTGCAATTGCATCTGCATCGCTTTTCGGCCTTTTGGTAAAGATCAAGGTGTAGTTAATATTATGTTCTTATCATCTTGATTTTGATCCTAGTCAAAGGTTATTTCACGTTTAAATTCCGTATTTCTTCTTGGACGCGCCTTACAAATCTAGGTGGTTACGCCTGGCGGCCATCAGCTGAACTACTCAATGTCAGCAAGGGACGGCGATTACGAGGAAGTGCGACTACAAGTGCAAGTGCGACAAGCGACTACGGCGACTACGGCGACTGCGAGAGCAAGACCCCGGCACGCCGTGCCGACTACCTGAATGGTAGTGAGTTGAGGGACGGTGGCGGCGTTTCGACGCGCTTCTCACGAACGCGCGTCGCCCCCAAAGCGCTGGCCAAAACCATCCCGGTGGCCTGGCGCGCGGTGGACGGCGAGCTACGGCTTGCGGTCGGCGACGATGTGGTGCCGCGTCGCGAGGCGGCTGCCCTCCTGCGAGAGGCGGGCCGCCAGGCGGCCGCCGAGCGTCTGTATCGCCTGCCTCACCAGGGCAAAGTGATGCAGACGGTCGGCGACCAGCGCGTGAGCAACCACTACATGTACCGTGGCAGCTTCACCCGCTTTGCCGAGTGGCTCTTTGTGCACCGCGCGCGGCTGGGACTGGTGCCTCTAAACGGCGTCCGTCGCAGCCCTGTGCGGGGCGACGAGCGCTGCCGGCGGTGCGGTTACGCGCGCGAGACGCTGTCCCACGTGCTGTGCCACTGCATGCCGCACAGTGACGCCTTCCAGCGCCGTCACAACGCCATCCTGAGCCGCCTCCACAAGGCGGTGCAGCGGGATGGCGTGGTGACACAGGTCAACCGGCGGGTGCCGGGGTGCGTCTCCTCCCTGCGCCCCGACCTGGTGGTGACCCGCGGTGACGAGGTCATCCTGGCCGACGTCACCGTGGCCTTTGAGAATGGGCCACACGCGCTTCGCGCTGCCAGCGACGCCAAGGTCCGCAAGTACACCCCACTCGTGCACGAGCTGCGCGGGCGGGGCAAGACGGCCAGTGTGGTGGCGTTGATCGTCGGTCCCCTGGGCACCTGGTGGCGGGGCAACGAGGCCTCGCTGCGCCGGCTTCGTGTCAGCCGGAACTACGCTAAGCTGATGCGGCGGCTCATGGTGAGCGACACCGGTGGTGATTTGGGTTTTAAGGGCGCGTCGGCATCGGGGCCATTTTGCGCTCACTCGATGACGGTTATGTACCTCTGTGACGACGCGATAAGTATGTTGTCAATTGATAACAGGTAGCGTCGCTGGCGCACTTACACTGAGGGGTGAGTGAAAATAACGTCAAAGTCAATGTGTGCTAAAAATGCGAGTATATCTCCAAGTTCACCACATGGGTTTCGACCGAGTAACCGATGAAGGGGCGCTGGAGGAAAAAATCTTCGCCTCTCCGTCTCAAGGCGCCGACATGAGACGAGCACATGTTCAACAGACAACCGGTCCCCGCATCTATCACACCGTGGCACATCCCTACGCGTCAAGTAAAACGAGTGTGTTGCATATGTATGACCCAACCGAAGCCTACAAAGGGCGACTTCCTGGAAGCGGCTTCGGCGATGGGAGGATTCCCAATCACCCAGATGGGGCTTGATTTCCCTTAAATCTGATGCTGGTCGAACATGTGCTGCCACGTATTGCGGACGCATTTGGAAATGACTGACTAGATCTCGAGCGGGTACATAAATTGGTATTGGGTTTCTCTCACACGCCGCAGCTTTCGCTGCGGCGTCGGCTTTTTCATTCCTTATTATTCCTATGTGGCTGGAGATCCACATAAATGTGATACGGCAGGAAGTGTTGTCCAGCCATTCCAGTTCCTCCCAGATTGAGCGCGTCAAAAATGAGTGGTCACGCGACATTGGCGTCGGGTCTAATGATGAAAGTGTAGTACGCGAGTCGGTCAAAATGACTATATCCCTTTCAGGACGACAACCAACGTACTGAAGCGCTGCTAAAATGGCAAACAGTTCTGAGGAAAAAAACTGAAAGGTGCTGCGGGTGGCATAGACCTACGGTATGGACACCGCAAACAAATGCGTAACCCGTTCCTGTTGAGCCCTTGGACGCGTCGGTAAATATTTGTAATGAGTTCGCGTATTGTGAGATCTGTTCCAACGAGTACGTGAGGAACTCTCGTGGTGAAGTGCCATTTTTAAGATGCTGACAAAGTTCCAAATCATTCTTAATACTCAGACGTCTCCACGGAGCTGGGTCCCGAAGAGTGTGCGGGGCAATGTCATCCAGCGTAATATCCGCCTCGTCCAGGCAGTCCCGGACGCGCAGGCACATCGGCCGCGCTGACGTGGGCCTCCCCCTCAAGAAAGAACGAATCAGCGTCTGAGAGAAGATGAACTTAAAGGCTGGGTGGTCCGGAAATTGTGAAACCTTTGTAGCGTAATTCAAAGTAAGTCGTTGTCTCCTAAGAGGCAAGGGCGGTTCATTCGCTTCCACCAGCAAGTTTCTTGTTCGGGTCGTACGAAACGCCCCAGAGGCTATACGAACACATGTATGGCGGATTGTGTCCAAAACCTGCTTTGAAGATGTAGGAGCACTATCGTAGACAGGACTAGCATAATCGACGACTGATCGAATTAGGGCCCTATACAGGTTCAACAGGGTGCTTCTATCGGCTCCAAAGGTCATACGACACATTACTTTCATGAGGTTCATGCGCTTGAGACACTTAGTCTTAACCATCTTAAAGTGTTGCTTAAACGTGGGCCGACGGTCAAACGTGAGGCCCAGGAAACAAATGTCGTTACAAACTGGGATAGTGGCATTACACAGTCGCAACTCCGGGTCTCTACAGCCTCTAATCCGTGAGCAGAAGTGCATGCACTTAGTCTTGGTGGTCGAAAATTTGCAGCCATTCTTAAGGGTCCACTCAGTCAGTCGAGTCAGGCATAACTGAAGCTGCCTCTCAGCAGACGTCGTTATGGATGCCGCCCACCAGATGGCAAAGTCGTTCACAAACAGTGACCGACTGATGGTAGGTGGCAAACAGTCTGCGATATCATCGATCATCAGCGCAAACAGGGTTACGCTAAGGACGCTCCCTTGAGGAACACCGTTCTCTTGTTCATAGCGATCAGATAGCATGCCACCCACTCGGACGCGTAAGAATCGACGACGTAAAAAATTTTCAATGAAGAGTGCCATGTGACCTCGGAGCCCACACCTGTGTACTTTGCTTAGAATGTCATAGCGCCAGGTGGTATCATAAGCCTGTCCAATGTCAAAGAAGACTGCTATCGTGTGACGTCTTTGTTTAAAAGAATGTCGTATAGCTGTGTCTAAGATCGTTAAGTGGTCAACAGTGCATCGTTTCTTCCGAAACCCGCATTGCACTTTGGAAAGACGACCGTGGGTTTCAAGGTGCCGCATGAGACGATTATTCATCATCCTCTCTAGCACTTTGCATAGGGATGAAGTCAGCGAAATTGGGCGGTAGTGCAGTGGGTCGGAACCATCCTTTCCGGGCTTCTGTATCGGGACTATAATGGCCTCCCGCCACGACTCTGGGAAGTCATCTTGCAACCACACATAGTTGAAAAGTTCAGGTAAGGCATGGAGGGACTCCTTCTTTAGGTGATTCAACATATCATTGTGGACTTAATCCAATCCAGGCGACACACTCTTGGTGCGTTGTAATGCCGTTCTTATAATGTTATTGCCTTGGTACGTTGTAATGCCGTTCTTATAATGTTATTAATTGAACTTTATCAAACAACCGTGTCGCGTGTAAGTGCCCTCCACATCTTGGAGCGGCATCCGCATTTCCTTTTCTTTCTCTTGTTATCAAACATGTAATTCTTAAAATAAAAAATCTGTTCTTATCAGCTTAATATCTGATACGTCCCCTACATGGGGACCAGAATATTAAACTGATTTTTGAACATTGGCGGGGTTACTGGAGCATGCTCCTGCCCTGCCGCGGGTTGGCCTGGCGTTGCACTACAGCCAGGATCGGCCCATTTTTTGCTGTCAGCGGTGTCAATAAATCAATATGCTCTAATACATGTAAAATCCGTATGTATGTTCAATATGGCTTTGCGCTTATGCTGCATGCGCGCCGCTCCTGGCACATAGCCAAGACGCATCGCCTCAGATGTCTGGGCCGACGCAAAAGCCAGCACGAACAGAGCATGGCCAGAGTCAACAACAAAATCAACGACTACATAGCAAACAATGAAGAAACACACCAAGAAAGCATCCAAACAAAACACAAAAAGCAACAACAGACATCAAATTGCAACGCTGTGGCGGCCGGCGAAAACACATGATTGACATCAGCTCAAAGGCGGCCGATGCCATGTCACCAACAGCGCGTGCCGTCAGGCCGGTAACATGCAATGCCAACGCATCACACGGTTGTACAAGCCAACACCATATAGACCAAACGTCTGACAATGACCATGGCCGCCGGCTGTCCATAACGGCTTTGCGCGCCCCACGGCTAGATGTCTCTGTCGGCAGCGTGGCATTCACACATGGCCTGCGGGCCGGCCAATGGTCGGCTGTCTGCCATGCTCCAGCGCACGGGGCCGGCAGCCGGAGGCCATGCGCCCTTGCCGGCCTGGCGGCATTGCTTAGCTGCATAGGCGTCTTCGCTTCCGAAGCGTGGCCGCGCTCTACCACGTGACGCGACCAAACTTTGCTCTCGGCGCTCGGTGTGACAGCCATCTAACGGCCATCTGGGCGCTAGGTGGCGCTAGCGGCGGCTGGGCGCTTTTTGACCGTAGCGACGCGCGTGCCGGCGTCAGTTTTACGTCCTCAGATGCGGTGCGAGCATGCAGCATAAGCGCAAAGCCATATTGAACACACATTCTGATTATACATGTATTAGAGCGTACTGATTTATTGACACCACCGACAGCATGAAATGGGCCGATCCTGGCTGTAGTGCAATGCCAGGCCAACCCACGGCAGGGCGGGAGCAAGCTCCAGTAACCCCGCCAATGTTCAAAAATCAGTTTAATATACTGGTCCCCATGTAGGGGACGAATCAGATATTAAGCTAAGCAGAACAGATTTTTATTTTTAAAAAATACATGTTTGATAACAAGACAAAGAAAAGGAAATGCGGATGCCGCTCCACGATGTGGAGGGCACTTACACGCGACACGGTTGTTTGTTAAAATTCAGGAAATAACATTATAAGAACGGCAGTAACAATGTACCAAGGCGCCAGGGCGCACATCGAACAGGGTTTGCTGATGGCGCCACCTTACTTCACTACATCAGCTGGGCAGTGGTGGCGCCACCAGCTGCGCCGCAGATGGCGCCGCAAAACAACTTTCTGGCGCGACGCAGCGCGCTACGGGAGGGATGGGGCGGGGGTCGGCTTCCCTCCCGAAGGTGGGGGAGGGGGGGGGATCAGGCCGCCGGTGGGGATCGTATCCGGCCCACGTGGCGCTCCGAGGACTGGGGGGGGGGGGGGGGACGGGGCGTCGGGCGGCCGCGCCGATCGCTCACCGCGCGGAGGTAGCGGCCCGGGTGTGCGGCCGCTGTGCTGCGCCGGGACGCCGCGCCAGGCCGAAACAGTGTGCTGCTGGCGTCGGCAAGATGGCGGCGACGACCCTGATGTCACCGCGTCCGGGTGAAACGGCCGCAGATCACTCGTACTGGCGGCGCCCAGACAGATGCTCGATGTAAATGTCGCGGGACCACCTCAGGGTGTCGCTCACCATGACCCGCCGCATCAGCTTGGCGTATTTCCGGCTGACGCGGAGCCGGCGCAGCGAGGCCTCGTTGCCCCGCCACCAGGTGCCCAGGGGACCGACGATCAACGCCACCACACTGGCCGTCTTGCCCCGCCCGCGCAGCTCGTGCACGAGTGGGGTGTACTTGCGGACCTTGGCGTCGCTGGCAGCGCGAAGCGCGTGTGGCCCATTCTCAAAGGCCACGGTGACGTCGGCCAGGATGACCTCGTCACCGCGGGTCACCACCAGGTCGGGGCGCAGGGAGGAGACGCACCCCGGCACCCGCCGGTTGACCTGTGTCACCACGCCATCCCGCTGCACCGCCTTGTGGAGGCGGCTCAGGATGGCGTTGTGACGGCGCTGGAAGGCGGCACTGTGCGGCATGCAGTGGCACAGCACGTGGGACAGCGTCTCGCGCGCGTAACCGCACCGCCGGCAGCGCTCGTCGCCCCGCACAGGGCTGCGACGGACGCCGTTTAGAGGCACCAGTCCCAGCCGCGCGCGGTGCACAAAGAGCCACTCGGCAAAGCGGGTGAAGCTGCCACGGTACATGTAGTGGTTGCTCACGCGCTGGTCGCCGACCGTCTGCATCACTTTGCCCTGGTGAGGCAGGCGATACAGACGCTCGGCGGCCGCCTGGCGGCCCGCCTCTCGCAGGAGGGCAGCCGCCTGGCGACGCGGCACCACGTCGTCGCCGACCGCAAGCCGCAGCTCACCGTCCACCGCGCGCCAGGCCACCGGGATGGTTTTGACCAGAGCTTTGGTGGCGACGCGCGTTCGTGAGAAGCGCGTCGAAACGTCGCCACCGTCCCTCAACTCCTTACCATTCAGGTAGTCGGCGAGCTGTGCCGGGGTAGGCTCAGCCAGGAGGCGCTTGCGCACAGACTCCTGTAGCTGAGAGGCAGCACTCTCGCGGACGGGTTCGTCCGGGGAGGTGAGGAGCTGCCATGTAGACGCCAGAAGGAGGATGTCGATCTCAGAGGCGAGCTCGGTGAGGCCAACACAGCCGCGCGGGGTGCTGGCGTGCAGGTACTCCTGGCACGCGCGAAAGGGCAGCTGGATTGCCCCCTTGACCCTCCAGCGCAGCTCGGCGTCGAACTGACGCAGAGCCCGTTTTGGGAGCAGACCCAGCCGGAGGCAGTGGGTCAGCCGTGGCAGGATGAACGCGCGCAGCGCGTCCAGTTTCTGCCACGGGGCCAGCGCGCTGTCCAGGACGAGGCGGGCGGCCTACCCCGCCTCGGCCAGCACCTGTAACGGCGGGCACGACAGCCTGGTGTGTCCCACAGGACGGCCCAGGTAGCGGTACGAGCACCGCTCGCCGATCACGGGGATCGGCTGACCCATGAGCCGCACCTGCGGCGACGGGCTGCCGACCGACAGCAGTCCGGACTTGCGCGCGTTGGGCGCCAGTCCACACCAGCTGCACACCTCCTCCAGTGTGGTGAGCGCGGTGTCCAGCGCCTCTGCGTCGCGGCAGAGCAGCGCGAGGTCGTCGGCGAAGGCGAGCGTCGTGACGCCGTCAGCGGCGTCGAGCGCCCAGACCAGAGGCTCCATGCCCAGATTAAACAGGATGCCGCTCAGCGGGCAGCCCTGCCGCACGCCGCGCGTGGCGGGCGCGGGCTCGGACGTGCCCTGGGCTGTCGTGTACGTGGTCGTGCTGCCGTCGTACAGGTCCTCCAGGGTGAACAGCACCTCCCCGAGCAGGCCGAGGCGGGCGAGAACACTCCACAGATACCTGTGTGGCAGGCTCCCGAATGCGTTCGCCAGGTCGATGAAGCAAACGTGAAGCTGGCCGCCGGGCTGTCGCCGCTGGGCGGTGATCGCGCTCTGGAGGATGAAGTTGTGCTCCAACACTCCGTCATAGCTGCGGAAGCCTTTCTGTTGGCATGACAGAAGGTTCTCGGTCTCCGCCCAGCGGGACACCGGTCGGCCCACAGGCCGGCGTACACTTTGGCAATCGTGTTCATTAGGGCGATGGGGCGCCAGTTCGAGGGCTCGCGCACGTCCCCGCCCTTATGAAGGAGGATCGTGCTGCTCTCCTTCCACGCAGCCGGTACCCGCCTATGCCGCGCGCACAGGTTGAATGCGCGCGTCAGCAGGAGGGCACCAGGGTCGAGGGCCCGTCACGCAACATAGCGCAGGACGTCAGCGCCAGGCGCTGTGCTGGCAGCGGACATACGGCGCCACACCTCGTCTGCCTCGAAGTACCGGAAGAGCCCGGCTGTGGGCAGAGCTTCCACCGGCCCCTCGACACATTCGGGGTGGGCCTCCCACTCGAACGGGTCGGCAGCGCGGTTGGGGGCGCAAAATGCTCCCGCACGACGGCGGGCTGAAGCGGGCATGACGGACTCTCCTCCGCCAAGACATCGCGCATCGCCTTGCCGCGGTTGGCGCGGTGGAGGCGCTGGAGCCGACTCGCCTCGGCCGGCTCGTGCCGGGGCGGCCGGTACGTCGTGCGGCGGTCTGGCTGTTTGGCTGGTGGAGGGGTCGGGCCGCCGTTCTGGGGGGGAGGGGGATCGCCCGCCGCATGACGGTCCGGCCGGCCGCGGGGATGGGGAGGGGGCACACCGCCAGCTGTGTCCGGGCGGCCGTTGGGAGGCGAAATGACCGCCGGCCGCCCGGGCTGCCCGTGTGGGGCGGCGGCACCGGGCTGTCCTCGGCGCCGCGCGGCGGCCTGGCCTCGTCGCTGGTGGTACGCCTCATTGCACGAGAGGCGTCGGCCACCATGCGCTGGAGGAGCGCCTCGCATGATTCCCAGTCGTCTTCGGGTTCGTCGAGGAGCCGCTGCAGGCGGGGTATGAACTCCGCCTGCAGCTCGGTGAGCTCGGGTTCCGGCGTTGCTCCGTCCCGCGGCCGGTCGGCTTGCCCGCCCGGTCCTGGCGCCGGCTCGTCCGGGGGGGGGGGGGGGGGCACCGCCTCCATCCCCGCCCACTCCACTACCACCGCGACCACCACCGCTTCTGCCGCCACCGCGTCCCGGCCGGCCCGCCCGCCCTACGCCGCGCGCCGCGACCCCCGCCCCGCGCGGGAAGCCCGTCACCTGCACCTCGCTCGAGACGGCGGGGCGCGGTCGGTCGCTGATTAATGGCCGCCTAGGGGAGAGGGCCGGGTCGGATGGCCGGGCCGGGCGTCCCTCGCCGCTCCCGTCCGACGGAGCGGCGGCCACCGGATGGCGGCGGGGCGCCGGTCGGCTCGGGTCCGGCCTACCCGGCGCCGGGTGCGAGGTGGGGCGGGGTGGTTGCGTCGCCGGACGATGAGTCAGGCGACGTCGAGCCGCCGTCACGGAGAAGTCGGCGGCGAGCGGTGCGCCGCCGGCGGCGGCGGCGGCCACCCGAGTCGCCCGAGGACCCCGACGAAAAGCTGAGGGGCAATGGCGGGCCTACCCGCGGCGCAAGGGGCGTCGGCGGTAGGGAGGGGAGCGGGGGGGGGGGGAAGCCGCAGGGTACAGGGGTCCACAGCGCGGCGTGGGTGACACTGGGAGTGGGGGGGGGGGCACTGGGGGCGACGACAGGCGAGCGGCGGGGTGACGTCAGTCGTGGTGCCGGCAGCGGGAGGAATCCGGGGGGCACGCGGGGACCACCGTGGGCGCACCCCGGCGAGGCCTCTTCTCCGCTTGCAGCGCCGGCCGCCGCTTGTGTGCGGCGTGTGTGCGGCCGCCGACGGAGTGTGCGGCGTCCCGCCGCACACTCCGTCGTCGCGAGCCGTACCGTCACTTACGTCACTTGGCCCCGACCGCACTGGGTGGGTGCCCTCGGGCGTACACCCGGCTGACACGCAGGTGGCGCAGCGTCTCCTCGTTGCCGCGGTACCAGGTGCCGAGCGAGCCAATCACCAGGGAATGCACGGAGGCATGCTTGCCCTGGCGTCGGAGCTCGGCCACCAGGCCCGCGTACTTGGCCACCTTCTCGTCGCCGGCGGCGCGCAGGGCAGCCAGCCGGTTCTCAAACGAGACTGTGACGTCCACAAGAGATACGTGGGCGCCACGGGTGACCACCAGGTCAGGCCGAAGGGCCGACTCGGTGCCGGGCACACGGCGGTTCACCCGCACGTCGGTGCCGGCAAACCGAGGCACAGCCTTCTCCAGGCGCGCCAGGATGGCGTTGTGACGCCGCTGCAGCGCCGCGCTGTGGGGCCGGCAGTGGTTGAGCACGTGCGGCAGGGTCTCCTTGGCGTAGCCACAGCGCCGACAGCGCCGATCACCGACGCCGCGACGGTACCCGTTCAGGGGCACGAGACCGAGCCGAGCACGGTGCACAAACCGCCACTCGGCAAACCGGGTGAAGCTCCCATTATACATATAATGCGAGCTCACCGGCTGAGACGCCACACACTCCATCACGCGTCCCTGATGGGGCTTGGCGACCAGGTCGCTCAAGGCCCGCATCCGCAGGGCGTTGCGGAGCGCCTTGCTCTCGCCGCGCGCCTCCACCGCAGTGGGGCCGACGCGCAGCTCCGGGACGGGATGGGCGGCGTGCCATGCCACGGGCACAGACGAGGCGAGTGCCCGGGTGGCGACACGCGCGCGGCTGAACCGCGACGAGACATCACCGCCGTCGCGCATGCGCTCGCCATTCAAGTAGGCTGCCATGTCGGCCGGCGTCGGAGGCCGGCCGACCCTGCGCCGCACGACGCGCGTGAGCTCAGCGGCGGCCAGCTCGGCGACCAGGGGGTCACGCGAGCGCAGCAGCTGCACGCTGGCGGCCAGGAGAAGAATATCGGCCTCGCTGCCTAGCTCAGTCAGGCCGACGCCGCCCGTGGACGACGGCGCGTACAAGAAGCCGTTGGTGGCGCTCAACGGCACGCCCAGCACACCCTTGACGCGCCACCGCAGCGCCATGTCGAAGGCGCGCAGGGGCGTCTTGGGCAGCACGCCCAGGCGCAGGCAGTGCGTCAGCCGCGGC